AAACGTCACCTGTCAACTTAGAGTAGTGCCAAAAGATTACTTCGTGCGGCTATAAACGACCGTTAAATGGAATGATGAATTTTTGAAGGATTTTGAAAACGGAAAAAACGATAGTCATGCCGGCCCAGCATCATCAAAATTGAAAAATACCCCGGCGTGAAGTGGTTAACCGTATGAGGGAGTGGATTCCTTTCATAGTTTTTTCAGATACTGCCACAGCTGAACCTTTAAGAGTTTTTAAGTAACTCTTTGTGATCATTTTGACACCAATTTTGTGAAATTCAGACATACATGTACTATTCTTTCGCTGTGCCCATTGTTCTGAAACAGGTCAACCACAAAGGTATACTTTTCCACTTCCATGCTCAATACACACAGGCTGGCATGTGTGTGGCCTGAAACTTCAAATGACCATAACAATTCAAATCAAGTCAGATTGAGTTGAAACTTGGTATTGCACCAATAAGAAGTGTCTTTACACACGTGCCAATTTATGTAAAAATTCAGGCATTGGAAAGCCAAGTCCGGGAGGGGCGGAATCTCCCTGGCTGTGAGATGGTCCAAAAATAACCCTGCTCTATCAGATTAAGTATTCTAGATCACTATACTCGGCCAAAGAGTGTGCATGACCAACATGGCAAAATGAGGGGCAAGTCACCACAGCCACTCTTGAGTTAAAGGCTTTGAAAAAAATCTTTACAGTCAAAATCAAGGTGACCCCTTAAGATTTGTCTATTTTCATGAGGATGTTAAATTGAACTATACATCAAACAAAAAAGCTTAGTGTGCTCTTTCTGATGTAAACTAAAATAATATCTCTGAAAATCTACTCTTATGACTCATTTTTTTATGATCAGGTTGCAAATGAGGGCTCACAGTATTTAACTGATTGCTCATTGAACAGATGTGGAGTGTTGAGTACGTACAGGTTCCCGACGTGTCCAGCTCAAAAAGATCTTCAACCACAAACATCCCGCAAGCTGTCGAACCCCTGGCCTCCAAGATCAAAGATGAGGACTGCACATCGGAGAGCCAGTCGGAAGATAGCCAGAGCTTCAACAGCGCCCTCATTGATGAGAATGAGGTCTCCACACCAACTGGGAACAGCATAGACAAGGCCATGTCAGATTCTAGCCCGGATGAGCCGGGTGGTGATTCGGGCGGTGAACCGGACTACGGGACGCTGAAGGCCAACCGGCACTCCAAGGTGGGCCCAGAAGAGGAGGCCGGGGACTCCCTCCTCCATGGCCCCAGGCCAACACCCCCATCCAGCCTGCCCGTGGAGGGGAGCTACGCTGCTGTGGACAACCGGCGGGGGCCGGGAATAACCCTGACCCAGCCCCCTGGGGAGGGGCCTACAATGGCCACGCCCGACACCCTGGACTCTTGCAGTGACAAGACCAGCTTCACTACAGTGGATGACATGAGTGACATCATCAATGGCAACCAGGGTGAGGACACGGACAGTGTCAGCAGCCGTCAACTGGGCAACCAGAACTTGAAGGTAGAGAACGGGGTGTCACCCCCAAGCCCGATGCAGCGGGGGGAGTATGTCATCCTGTCGGAGAGTGACTTTGAGAAGTATGACGAGGAATGCAGGGACAGGATGTCAGCATCGCATAGAAATAAGCTCAAGCCGGGTAAGTGTTCCGATGACACTGACAAGAAAAATGACAGTGACACTGATGAGGATGACAAAAGCTAAATTTCTAATGATGTTGGTTGATGCTCGTTGTGACAAGGTGGAAAAAATAAAGACGATGAAAATATTGTTGACATTGACAGTGACTTTGATATGGGATAAAGTGTGAATACAACATTGACAACAATGTGCGTTAAAACCGTCAAAAACGGTCCAAAGTGCCTTCCACTTGATTTCCCCCAGTACACAGACACATATGGGAAATGTGACTGATCTTGACTGATATGACAACTGTGTCAAGAATGTATCTTAGCATAGGAGGGTTTTAAACTGAGAAATTATACGAAATAGAAACAAGGAAACTAAGTTTCTCTTTCTTTTTTCCATTTGGCATTATCTAGTTAAATAGCATGATGTAATGCTGGTTTCGTGATGTAAAAGACCGTCTTCTCCAAAAGAGAAAGATACATTCACGGGTGTTTGTGTGTGTGGTTTTTTTTGTTCTTGTTTTCATATAGGTTTCAAGTGGCAGAGGCAGCTGGTATTCCGCAGCAAGCTGACGATGCACACTGCGTTTGAGCGCAAGGACAACATGCAGCCTGCAGCAGTCACTGCACTGGCTATCTCCAGGTAAGGAGGGACGTGGTAGAAGGAATCAAAGGAAGTGGCAAGATGCCTGGGGTTTGTCGGTTGTCATGAAAAACATCCAGAATTCCTAAAAGAAGGGGTTGGAGACTGGAAATGGTGCTTAAGCATATGCTGCCGGGTTTAATTAGTATTTGCATGACTAGTTCCTGGGGGATTTTTATGATTTTCCATTTTCAAAATTCTTTAAAAATTCCTAATTTCATTTACTGGATGTTTACACCCACTTGAATGATTGTCTGATGGCTACTCTAATCTGGCAGGCAACATCTATTGACACCTGAGTATTTCAGCCAGGTCTGCCGCCTTGTAAAGAGAGCCCAGATAGTGCGGTGTTGCGTAATTTCCTTTGTTCCCAAAATTGGCCCAGTGTGCTGCTGGCGCCTTTTTAAATGCTGCCAGATCAGCATGGAGCGGTATTGTATCGCTCATCTCTGGAGCGCTGGAGCGCTTTTGTCCCTGGTGATAATCCACTTTCCCTGAATGCCACAAATAGTGGTATACTGTTTCAAAACAATGATGGATTACCTCCACTATTGACAACTGAAAAAAATGTTGGCAATTCCCAGCAGCTCGGTCTTTTTGTTCTGAGTACGGTCTTTTGTTATAAGGCCCAGCTCCTTTGTCCCATTTCGGGCACCGGCAGCTATACCTGTAAACCTGAGATCTCCAGTAACGGGAACCCCGGCACGATTGATGATAATTCACACTTGAAGAGGATAGGGCCGAGTCAATTTGAATAACTCACTATTCGAATATTCAACCTTCAATTTGATCGAATATCCAAATATTTTGTCGTACCCACCGGCAGATTGTTGATGAACAAACCGTATACAAAATCAATAGCAATAATGCACACAATTGTACATTATAATCACTATAATAGCTTATCACATCTGGGAGTATCTCCAGCCATGATTTAGCAAGATTTAAGGGATGAATAACACTTCTTGTCCTGTTGAAAATCTTTATTCCTTTTAAATTGTTTAATGAATAAGTTACTTTTTGAATTGTAAGATTTCTGTAAAACAAAAGAAAATTGTCCCTTCCTTTTCATGAATTTTGCATTTGAATATTCAAATTCGGAATATACATGTAGTATTCAAATGTTTGATTATCGGATATTCGGCACAACCCTGTAAAAAATTTCCTCTGTCTCTTTACATGCTAAGCCGGTACCTTCAGGAAATAGGGCTGCAGTACTGATTATAAAAACTCTCAGCAATAAAGAATTTTGAGCCTTAAATCTTACATTGTACATGTTAATGCTTGTAGTTAAAAGTGTTCGAGAGTGTATTCAGGTGTGGCATACATAGTGTGGACCTCCGTATTACCCATTTCTTTCACTTACACTGGACCAGTGAATTTGCTCCTGATTTACTTGTAGCTGAGACACATAGTGGACTCGATTACAAGCCTCCGTGCATTTCACTGCTAATTAGTCTCTTTTGTCTCGGGTTGCCCCATCCTACAGAGACCACATGAAGGTGTACGTCGGGGACGAACGGGGCCGGGTCTTTAGCTGGTCAGTGGGTGACCCCCAGGGCAAGCTGATGACCGACCACTGGGTCAAGGATGAGAGCAGCGACTCCTGCAGCTCCTGCAGCACCAAGTTCACCTTCTCGGAGAGACGGCACCACTGCCGGAACTGCGGAAAGCTCTTCTGCTCCAAGTAGGCAGATCCATCAGTCGTGCCATCTTAATTTGTGTGGGCCAATTTTATTGAGTTACTGAGCAGAAGGCATTGCTCGGTTGATTTTGGTGCCAAGCAGGAAACGAGCGGGGTACCAGACACAAATCGTATGCTGTGCCTGCTACTTTGGTTGGTTATCCATTTTTACTCATTTCTGTGTCTAGCAAGTGCCTGTGCTTAACAATTCTACGTAATTGGCCCAAGGATTTGGAATCCCTAGGACGGCATTTTTGAAAAGCAGTCTTGTTTGTGCGTTGTCATTTCAAACTGTTTGATGAATGGCTGGTTTTTGTGTATGTGAAACTCTCCATCAAAGTTGCAATTGCCTGTCATTCACTCGTTTACAGATGCAGTCGATTTGAATCGGCCATTCCGCGACTCCACATCACCAAAGCCGTCCGCGTGTGCCAAGGCTGTTACACGGCACTGCGGCTGCCCAGAGAGACAGATGCCATTTACAGAACGTAAACCGACTGACACCAGCAGTTGGACAAGTTACCAATGGTTACTTTAAGCACTGACTAGAAACCCAGGTAGTGTATAGATTAGACTCCAGTTTTCCAGTGCGTCTGCACAAAGTGGTCGAGTGCCCCAGTTACTTTGATGCCAGTCTCACAAACTGGTGGTCCTGGGTTCGAATCCCATTAATCATTAGAGTGGGAAAAAAAAGTGCATATTACAGGACAAATGACAATGACCTTGTAAACAATAGATGGCAGCCTACCGTGTCATTCACAGACTTACAGCGGTTGAACCCAGAGTCAAAGGGATTTGTCAGATATTGGCTCTGTGCACAGAAAAACAAAGAATCCCACATTTGCATAATAATACACCCATGCACGGGTCCACGTATCTCTAATCTGCATACCGTGTTTGTGCTTACAGTGCATTTGGCTTCTGTATAGAGATGGCAGGATATGAAGATTTGCATCTGTTTGTTCATCATGCCGCTGTGAAATAGCATTTTAAAAAATGTTATTATCGTTATTCTGATTTTTTTTCCGGGGGGAGGGGGATCCAGGATTTTACCTCATTAGACTGGAGACATTTTAATGGCCACCTACACTTACCAGTATGACCTTGGAGCTCACACTGAGGTCCTTCTACCGGTACTTAACATTTGACGGAGGTCAGCTAACGACCTTGTCCCTTTCAACTTGAAAATTCCTGAGCACCCTGAAATTTTTTTTTTTTTTTTAATTTGACAATGGTCAAGAATTTGATATCTCGAGGTAATAATCGATGTGGAAAAGCAACTGTTAACCCCCTAACCAAGTATACTAACTTGATGAATTAAAAAAACAAGGTGCCATGTATTTAGAGGGGATACCTGTCTCCTCTTGTATAAAACTGTGCAGCAAAGCCGTGTTGTATATTAAAAGTAAAATTGTATACAAATTGTATATATATATGTATGGATAGCAACAAAATAATATAAGTATTACGCAAAAAAAGACCAATGGAAGCATCACGTCTGCTCTTGCCAAGTGGAGAAGATTCCTCTCAGTCGTTTGTGGTGGGCTGTAAACTAATCGGTTGTGATTGGTCAGTATTGGGTCACCTGGTACTACAACCCACTCATGTTTTGTGGCCCCTCTGAAAAGCTGGAGACAAGGGGGATAGTTACCGCTGAGAAACGATGTGAATTTGGTGTTTGTCAGTTTTGCATGCCAAAAGACAGACAGTCAGAACGTTGTGTGCACATAAAGGCAGCAGTCCTGTCCTGTCAGCACTGTACAGTAGATGGTTAGTGTTAAAGCTCAGAGGTAGCGAAAGTCTTTTTTTTTTTCAGGGAAACTTCCAAGGTTTAGTGTAAGCATGATTGATTACAAACAAAATCTAGTCTGTAATCTTGTATTTGGGCCCAAGTTTCTTACCGAAATAACCTTAGCCTTAATGATGAAATTTTTAAAAACTGGGTTTTTTTATACCAAGTAGATGACACATGGAATAACTTGGCTGATGGTCTGTGGGAGCTGAGATATGTCAAAATATTCATCGTAATAGATAGTGTTGTCCCATTTGAGTACCAGATAGATGTCAGTCATTTGTATGCAGTACTCTCTCTGAATATTTTGAGCGAGAGAAATAAATGGGTCTTTTGGGTTAACTTTTGGGAGAAGTCTTCACTTCTAAATGTACAATGTACATGTACTTTTGGACTTTTTCTTCAAAATGGCATAGTTCCTAATCTTGAATGGTGCCCTTACCTGGCAGATAGGAGCCAGTGTACAGTACTGCTGAATATTCATGTGCAATGTTACTTAATGGTAGGTTAATCAAGTAATTAATATTCATGTATGTAAAGATGTATATTATTCCCTTATTTGGATCTTTGTGGGACAGGTTTTTTCCTTGTCTTTTTAAGCTGGCTGAAATGGAGTTTCAAAGTCAGTGTCAAACAAATGTATATTGTTGAGAAATTTAATAGAATTTATTGCTTAAACTACAATCATGAAAGGCCACACTGGACTGTGCGAATGGTTGAAATCCGTGAGTGAAGAAGTGAAAGAAATATGTCAGAGTAAACATTCTTTATTTTGTTTTCATATTTTCCAAAGTAACTGTTTGAATATGATTATTTTTGTGAAGATTGACAATGTATACAAAATGTGACGCTAACCTGTAAATATTAGCTCCCACACAAAGATCTAGCTATAAGTCACGTGTCGTAATCATCAGGAGGAATTTTTGAAGTGGTAAATAACCAAAGTCCTTCTGCAGCGTTCCTACCTGTATTTGTTGGCTAGTTTATACATTTGTCAGTATTATTCTATGCAGAGTATATTCATTTGCAAAATATTTTCTGTTCCACAGAAAACACGCATTGAAAGACAAAGCCAATAACCTTTTTATTATCACAAGTCGTAACGCATTGTTTATTTCCATTGGCAACTACTTTCATTTGTCCTTTTTTCTTTTTATACTTAAATTGTTGCTTGGTTCAAATTTTTTTTTTTTTGTTCCAATCCAAACATTCGGTTTGAATATTAAAGTTCTAACTATTGCCAATAATGTCATTCCATATCAAAATTAAAGACAGGATTATTTGACACTGATGCCAAGGGTTTAGAGATGTGGCCAGTGTTTACACATTATACTTGGGGTGGTGCACCGAGGACTTTTGTAAGGGCTCATAAATGCGCAGTCTGAGCTTGTTCTGTCGCACCTGCAGTTGTATGATTGTACAGTATTTTCCAGCGTATCGATAGTGCTTGTCTTGTAACTTTTTCAAGACAATTTCTTAAGTGTGATGGGATGTAGTCAAGTCCATATCTCAGCAAGAGCAGATCCACAACCATTTTCTAAGGGGGGAGTGGCAGATTTTTGGGAGGAGGGGTGGAGATTCGGAAATTATTTATGTCACTTTTGATGGCCTGTCACTTTTGTAAAAGGGAAATGAAATAAACCCCACAGTCAACTTTTATCATTCACAAAAATAATTCAAGTGGGAGGGAGGGGCATAGCCCGTTTACTCCCCCCTCCCCACTTGGATCTGCCAGTGTATCTAATATGAGTTCACAAGGTCATGAGGGATGAGAAAGGGCAACTGGATGACTTGAACTCAGTTCATCTCAACACCTGAATCAAGGCTAGATGACCTGTGACCTTGATCCAGCCCACAACTGTTATTCAATTCCTTAGTTCATTGATGTAGTGATTACTTGTTTACATTTGCCTTTGCAGCAAAATCCCTGTTGTTAATCCAACCGTGCGTGAAAGTCAGTGAGAAAAAAATCAACCCGTTTTATAAAACAAAGCTGTTATCCAAAAGAAAAGGAATGATCAATCGCCTTCAACAGTTATAGAAAAAACTTGTAGGGCCTAGACTTATTAGGGACTTATGATGGACTTGAATTTCCAGTGTCGATTTCTGAGTGTCCAGTGAACACACACTGAGCTCATTAGTGTAATAACTGAGACACCCGCAGC